AAAAAAAAAAAAAAAAAAAGAAGAAAAAGAAAGAGATACGGGGTATAGAAGATACACAATAAAATACATGTCCAAAAGGGTATCTTGGTGCTGAAGCTTGCAAAGAGTTCGATTGCCATGCAGATAATTAGAACCGCTGTAACGAAATTATCTCAAATGTATACAAGCAATAAGAAGACGATTAAACCCATCAAATTGTTCATGAACGCTTCACCATATCATCTGCAAAATACATGGAGAGGCATCGAATCCAGGTGGGAACCAAATCAATTTGACAAGATAGAAGTTTGGGAAACAAAAATGATACCTCAGAAAATGTCAAGGAAAACAGCATTCTCTGTGTTTTGTGTGGCAGAAGATTTTGCTCTAAATACCTGGTAGGTGATGAGGAAAGCAACATAAATGATAAGCCAAACTAAGACAACTATTCGAGTGGCTGTGTATGAGTTCAGAATTTTGGCAAGCTGAAGAATGGAAAACGGAATCATTGACACAAGCAATATTCTTGCTGTATAGTTTGTCTCGAGATCAATTCTCACACGTTACCCTGCTCACACAAGTTCAATTAGGTGTTGAACTGAATGAATTCGAGATGTTTCTTGTTCGGGAAGTAAAACTATGCAAAATTGAGAAGAGAAGTGAAAAACCACTTAAGCTGAATGGTTTCTTGTTTTGAGAATGTGATGAAGCTGAAGTTAGCTCATTATCGGGTTTGAATGAATTTGATAAAGTTGAGGTCTATGAAAGATCAGAGCTACCAAAAGCCACAACAGAAGCCCAAATTAGTGTAAGTTGCATGATTGCTGATCCGGCAAGCATGCTCATCGACATTTCTGCCATATTTTCCAGCATCCTCACTTCCTGAGACTACAGAAAATGCAACAGCAACACAACATAATTCTGCATAAGCTCATCCCCGTTGACTAACTAATCATGCACGCCTGGCATTTCTCCGGTTGAAAGATACAACTGGGATCCAACTTCAACAAGGATAGATCCATCTGAAATGTACTGCTCCGAAAGGGAGAGCAGGTGCCTGTACACCATTGGGGGAAGCCACTGTTCCCGTGCATGGCAGGAAACCATAAGTGAGTTCACAAGTCATGGTCGTAGATAAGAGCTCATGCTCAAGGACTGGAGATTAGCGAAGTTAATTTATCATCCCATCTGACAGGAGACTGGATTTCTCACCAATAAAATAACCATTTGCTAAATGGATTATTAAGATGACTACAAAAATGACGAATAACACTCTTAGCATTGCCAGATCAATGCAAAGATACTGATGAATAAACTGCATGTCAGGGCAGTGTAAATCATCCTCTGATATGCTGAGGCCACAGAATTACGTGACAATAAAGTGAATAAACAACAAAAGGTGGAAATTATTCACAAGTTTCATAAGTAAATGATTTGCTTTAATTTTCAGAAAAAAAAAAAAAAAAAGGAGAAAAAATTGTTCCACAAGACGGCCAGCCTCATCACAGATTTGACTAAATCGTTTAGAAGATAAAATCACTTAATCTGCTCATGCATTCCTAGAGAGCATTCAAAAATACATGTGGAGAATAATAATATATTCCTACATGGGATTCTGGCGTTGCTGCTGGTAAAAATGCGGAGCAGCTTCTGTTAACCAAGAGGGATCAATGGTGATGACATTGCGCATGTATTGCCGGTCGGTGGAAACAACAGAATGGTATACAACCCACTTCGGATTGACCCTGCAAGTTGAAGAAACACAAGTTCTCTTTAGATAATCTGCCCAAAGTTAATTAGCTGCATCATGTGTAGGCGAAAACTGTTTCGCTTCATTACTTGAAGGGACAAAAATTTTGTATTTTTATGAGCAAGGAGTATCTAGTAAGATAAAATGTTACGCTACTAGAATTTAAAATATTAAAGCCAGTACCAACCTGAATAGTACAGAAGATGGATGGATATAAACTTCTTGTGAACCTCTGATGGTCTTGTACATCCCATTATGACTGAAGGGCTTTTGACAAGATAAACAGAAAAAGTTTTACTTGCGGACCACCAAATTTCTTTAGAACAGGAAGGAAAATCAAAATATATCTGTCTTCTAACTTAAAAGTTTTTTTTTTTAAAAAAAAATATATAAAGATTAAGAAGTCACCTCTAATCGACATGCATTAGCAAAAAAACCAGCAGTAACAGCTTTTCTCACTACCTGAAATATATGCATGATACAGCATTTAACACTGACAGTTGATATACTACATTTTCTTTTTATTTTAAATCAGCAAAGTTTCACGAAAATTTACCTGCATATCTCCTTCAGAAGATTTTAATACTATGCCTAATCTCAGAGTTATTCTTCTGAGTTGTTCCCTAATTTCCATTACTTTTTTCTGCATAAGAATTGAGACAAATGTCAATATATATAAAAATTCTGTCTGCAAGACCCAAAACAAAAGAACATCACAAGGTGTAAATCCATGGATAAAGAACTTTTATACAAAGGTGAAACTTAACTAAAAGAAGAAATACAAACCATAGCATGGTAGTTTATAAAGTTCTTATGACACCACTGTGATGATTTGCCCGAGTGGAGAAATCCTTTGTAAATATTCAGAAAGGTAACATGGTCACCCTGGATGGAACAAAAAGAATTGAGAGAACAGCAGAACAACTACTGAGCTATTGACAGTAAAACATATAAAAACAATAAGATCATGAAAAATGATCCACTCAATTCATTTAATACAGATGACAAGAGGATTGTATTGCCAGCTTATTGAATCCAGATTCGAACAAATACAAAACAATTATATTCAGCTGCAGCACTCAAATCAGAATCAACTAGACACAGTTCATATTTCATAAACGAAAATTTAGATCCATATCCTAACATCATGAACCAAAAAGATGACAAAGGAAGCAGATTAAGAACTGCAACAATAAACAAAGAGAAAACAGTAAAGATGTTGAAACAAGGTCGAGCAATTAATGAAGTCAATATAGGAGTAAGCAAATGCTCAAGTACGTAATCACCAGCAGTATAAAATAAAGGATGAAACTTTGATGCGTCAAAGTAAAGGGCTAATTAAGTAAGAATTTGTAAAAAGAATGCACAACAATGAAGACAAATATAATACCTCTGCAGCAGCGAATCTTAACTTGGCTTCATCTAGTTGCTTTTGTACTCCCCTACCAGAAAACCAAATAGACTGCAAAAGGACATTTCAGATATTAACTAAACCTCAGATGCATTATTTCCTTTTTCAGCACCTTGGTATTATGCTTTGTTGAAATCAAAATTATAACAATCCCCACATAATAATTGAATATGGCCTACACTTCAAATTCTATTTTAAAAGAGAGTGGGTGGGGGGAAGAAAGGAGAGAGAAGTTTACTTGGATGGAGAGAACAGCAGCAATAGTAATGGCTTCCTCTGAACACCCAAGTTCACTTGAAGCTAAAATCATTTTTGAGATCATAGGTTCCTGCAAAATATATCAATAATTCAATGTTTGTTACACACATAAAAATTTAATCTATAGTGTGAAGTAATAGAAAGTGGAACAGAAAAAAATCCATTAAAATAATAAATAAAAAGCAAATACAGAAGCTGTATTTCATATTGATTGTAAGTTCACTTGTCACATTGAATGTGACTGCTATTGTCAAACCACACACTCAGAACAAAAGTGTAAACTATATTACATAAAACATAAAGTCGTGTACTTACTAATGGAATTTCTGCAACTTGAAACCCAACAGGGGAAGTAAGTTTGGCATCATTATCGAGGACTCCAAGTGAATAAAGCACTTCAAGTGCTCGAATCATTGCTTCAGGAGATGGAGATGCTGGCCAGTCAAAGCCCAATATATTATCTATCCCTAAGGCTTTTAACTGTGAGATTGGAACACAAAGGTTAGCATCTAGAATACTCATATACTACAAACAATTAAGTCAAGGCATAAATATATAATAACTACTCACTTAGAACATTTATAAAAAAGCAAAGCAAAGTACATCTTTATTCTTAAACACACAAACCTCCTTAACAAGTGGAAAACTAAACTAATCCATCCCAATATCATGCTGTTAGAGAAGAGATTTGTGCAATGGTAGATAAACCAAGCAATAGAGTAACAAATCTAGTTCAATTCACAATATTTTAGACCAAACCACTTCTCAGAGAATTCATGCAACAAAATTCAGTACCTGAATCACACAATCAACAAGATTTGATCTCTGAATCTCTGGGATTCCTTCAGCAGACATTTCATTCATAAAATACTCCTCTGTATACAATCTGGTCACAATCAAATTAGGTTAACAATAATTACTCCATGTGACATCTTCAACCACAAAATCTTTGAAGAAAGTGATTTCATTTTTTTGGGAAAAAAAAAAAAACTTCCTGTAGTAATTTAGACACCTGTAACACTTCCCAGGTCGAATTCTCCCAGCCCTGCCAGCTCTTTGCCTGGCAGATGCCTTGGATATTGGTGCCACCACCAGATTTTCAATGTCTGAGATCTAAGGCAATAAAGAGGAAACAGTAAAAACAACTTAACCCAAAGTACATAAAGAAAACAAAGGCAGCTAATAGAGAGTAAGAGAGGGAGATAAGATTAATCATCAATATATTGTTAAATCACCAAAGTGAAAATGCCAATACCGGATTGTAGAACCGCTGCTTTGAGAACCCACTATCAACAACATAGACAATGCCCTGGACCGATAATATTAACGTCAGTATTATGTGAAAATGCAGCACCAACACTTCTGAGACACTAACTAGAGTTAGTAAGTGTAGGCAGGCACAGCACAGGGCAGAGAAATTACCTCCAAAGTCAATGATGTCTCTGCGATATTGGTTGATATCACCACTTTCCTCTTACCTCTAGGAGTTGGGGAAAAAATCAAATCCTGAAATGATCCAGGAGATGTGTCTAAAACGGAAGATTTAATTAAATGAACTCTACAGAAATCATTTACTTGAAAGATAGTTGAAGGAAGAACAGACAATGGATCTAACCTGTTCTGAACGTGAAAGTCCAGAGTACAAAGGCAGAACAATTAATCCTGGAAATGAAGATTTAATTATATTATTCTCTCCAATAAATCCAACAAAAAGTTGATAGCATGCTGTGGCATAAGGATTTTGTACTTCTATTTATAATAATTTCCACAAATTACCTGTGCTATAATGCACATGTCTAGTCATGTCTACATATAGCTTTCCAATAAAACTAAGCAACATGGTATCCATAATGATACATGTAATACAAGTTTGCCAATGGCAACGCTTTTTTACATGGCTTTAAATGAACATCTACAAGTCAAAAAGTATGTGTCATGTGATTTTACCTGAAGAGTTCTTTCTACTGTTTTGAGTTTCTTCAGTAAGCATCTTGACCACAGCATCAATATCATCTTGACCAGTAAGAAATACCAGAATATCACCCGCTGGCTCCTAACCGATGGATAAAATATGAAATTAAGAAACATTGTGATCAGCAGAATCCAAGCTTTTCATCCTGACTCAAAGAAATATGGATCTATACTTGGTATCAGAGAGCAAAAAGTTCTTATTATTGAGGAAGAAAGCCTTAACGAAATGGAAACTATCATAATATATAGATAGACCAGTAAAACTTCTTGCAGAATGAATGAGTTAAGGTTTGCATTTCATTCCATGCAACATAAAAACATAAAAAGACAGTGGTAGTTTTCAATTTTCATATGAACCAAGTAAGATGCTGAATAATAAATGAAACTGAATAGAATACTTATTGTATGTACATATGTTTGTTTTTGCAGTATTTATCACCACAAATATGACTATCTTTTAAATCAAATGAAATTATTCAAGTTGATATTTAAAAGTTTAAACTATGTATTACATTCTTTAAAATACCTGATCATTAATCAGCAATACTGTTGAAACAGAAGCTTGAACATAGTCTTGGACGGGCTCCTCCACATAATGAATTTGCACGTTAAACCCCCTACCCTGATAGTTGAGCAGAAAACAAGGCATTGTTGTTACTTCAACATTAAGAAACAAAAAATGAACAGATTGACATCTAAAATGTAAAAATAGATAGTATCCTTGTGTATGGATAAACATCTCCATATGTGCACATGAAGGATATGAAAAGTACCTCAACTGAAAGGATAGCAGGCTCCATACTTGGCCCTAGATCCTCACTTTCTAGCCCTTGATGCTTTTTGCTAGGTCACAACAAAAACAAGATATTACAAACCAAAACACCTGAGATAAGATAAGAAGAATGCTAACTGTACATGGAAGTGAAAATCAAGTTATTTTTGAGCTCAGGATGTTTTAACAATGTAAACTTTTTAACTATTATTAAAAATTCAAAGCACCAAGAGAATGCAATAGAAGCTACATTCAAGACTTCAAATGGGTTAGGGGGGCTTTGCAACAGAGGACTACCCTTGTTGTATAGCCCACAATCACAAAGACAAGAAATAGGTGATTTGTGAGATTAAATGCATCATTTGAAATGCCCTAGGAAAACCACGTTAAAATTCCCAAGACAACCAAAATTTTAACTACAAAAGAAAGAAAAAGAGGACAACTTCACTAAAATGTTTAGAAGGAAACCTGGACCGGAAGAAATCAGACATGGATCTTGCTTCAATTGTAGCAGAAGATATAATCAGGCGTAACTCTGGTCGACGCCTTTGGATCTGAGTTTTCAATATTTAGCAAACATTTAGATTTTAGAAAGATGGACAATGATACCATAAATGTAATCGGGGTTTAAGTCATCACTGATTGACCAAGACATTAGGAGTGTTACCTTTTTCAGAAGACCCAGCAAAATATCTGTTGAAATAGACCTCTCATGAGCCTCATCAACCATAATGACACTGTGATGGTCAAGTGTACAATTAAGATTAAAAGTCACTGAAGGTTAGAAAGATGTCATGATTCTGTGGCAATAAAAGCAACTATAGAGCTATGGAGAAATTACATTTACATGGAATGCACTTAGACATACACGTTAATGTCAGTCAAATTCTAGTCCATCAATCCATAATCTGATTTTGCATGATAAATAACTGAATAATATATGTATCTTCCAGATAAAAAAAAACTGAACAAACTAGCATGACAAATGATGTTATACGAGCACAATCAATAAGTTAATCCTTAACTTCTACCACCTGAAATTATGACAGGCTAAGATGGGAAAACCAAAAACTTGAGGTATTCAAAAGATTTAATACAGTGAAATAGAGAAAGAGCCCCAGCATAGTTTCTAGAATTTAACTATTACCTGTACTTAGTCAAAAGAGGATCATCCATCATTTCTCTTAGTAACACTCCATCGGTAAGAAATTTTATCCTAGTAGCATCCTGCACTGCCAAAACAGGATAACTCTCAGAAACCATCATATTGGATCACATGAACAACCAACATCAAGTTCAACATATTATTATCATTTTCCAATTCATGCAAGCAGTCAAATTTTCCTTCCCAATCCAACCCAATAAGACAATAATTATAACTTTGAGGATCATATTAGATGACTCACTGCATCTGTTATATCTTCAAAACGAATTGTGTAGCCAACTTCTTCTCCAAGCTTGACACTCATCTCTTCAGCCACCCTTGAAGCAACTGCCTGTGCATCATGAAATGAATCACATTAGACTTGAGTGAAGAATTAAACACACTTTATTTTGTTGAGAAAAAAATCCCACCCCATTTCCCCCCTTCTTCAACTTCTGAACTCGCTAAAACATTAAATAATCTAATATTACAAGCAAATCTTTAAAATCTAAAAAATTCAAATCACATAGATATGAAGGCAGGACAGACATTTGATTATCAATAGTAACTTCTAGACCACAATCAATGGCCTTTACGTTTTTTAACATACATGACACACAAGCTGCACACAAACATACAAAAGAGACCAGGGAAAGAAGGATAGAATAGGCGTATAGTTACCTGGACAGCTAATCGTCTGGGTTGGGTGCAAGCTATAACACGTCCACCATCAGCCCAACCTGCCTCTTTAAGGTACTGCAATTTAAGCACACAATTGAATTCACCTTTCCTCTAATTTCCCCGGAAGACAAAAGGGTAAAAAATGCAAAACAAACTCAAAAGAGGCAAATTTAAGCAATTTGATCAACATCTTTTTTTCTTTCTTAAAACAAGCAAACCCCACAAAAGGAAACATAAAAGAAGAAGAAAAAAGGAAAACCTGTGGGATTTGAGTGGTTTTGCCACTACCCGTTTCACCAACAATGATGGTAGTAGCGTGAGTCTCCACCAAATAGAGAATAGCTGTTCGGTACTTGTACACTGGTAGTCTCTGCCTCTGTTTCTCAATATTCGCAAACCCATATCTGTGAACACCCACAAATTACTTATTCATATACTTCAAAGCCATGGTGGATATGTAATTGGAGGAAGAGATGAGAAAACGAAGGAAAAGGGGTATACCCAGAAGCCGAGGAGGAGAAAGAGGATGACAAGAAAAGCACACCGCCTTCCTCGTCGTCGAGGATGCGAGGCTTCTCGGTGCCTGGTTTCCAGAACTGCGACATTGTTAAGCTCTGCCGTCCTCCTTGCTGAGCTGCTGTTGCTCCTCAATCGTTCGTCTTTCATATATTTGGGTCTTTCAGGGGAACGCTAAAACTCACTGGGTCCAGATTTTGAGCCCAAACAAATGGCATGGACTCCGCTGTTAATGAAGAAATTTAGTCAATGCCATGATAAACTTAAATGAGTAAAAATAAATATAATGTGATATTAAATAAAAATTATAATATAATAATAGATATATAAATAAGTAGATATTTAATTGAAAAATTAATTATATAACAACACATAATTTTACCAATGATTTGTTAATCTGAGTGAAAGGAGTTCGGTTCCTTAAGTAAAGTCTTGAGTTTAAATTATATGAATGAAAAAAATTGATGTTAAAAAAATTTTTTTTGTGTAACGTGACTCTATTTTGAATTAATTAATATTTAATATAATTATCGGAAGTTAATACCAAAAAAATAAAAAATAACACATAATTTTAAGATTCATGAAATGAATATTCTCTAAATTAATTATATAATAACACATAATTTTGTTTTTATACCAAAAGATTAACCATGCAACATTAAATATCCCGTTTCTTTATTCAAATTTCTCCATCGGAAACAAACTTCTTGAAATCCCCTTTTATCTAACTCAAGATTTACATATGTTACTTCCAATTTAGGTTCGAACACGTTACTTCTAACTTAGAACTCGAATTTTACCTGTTAAGCCGCTTCCCGCAAGGCAAAGAATTTTGTAAATATAACTGCCACTAGAACACCCTGTATGATGTATCCATTCTAACATGCACACATCACATTTCCACTGGTGACTTAGTTGCAGCTTTTCTCCTCAGATTAGAAAGCAAGCAATAAAAAGGTAAAAACACCAACTTTATAGTTTATACCTACCAAATGAATCTTAAAAAGCTCCAAGAGAGTACAAAGGCTTTTGTTAGTCCAAAATGGATCTAGAAACTGATTGGTATCCTCTATTAAACAAAACTAATCCGAGATTTCTCAAAAAGACAAAACTAATCCAAGAAGAAATAAGTTTTCATACATCAATGATTCTATTTGTATTCAGTCGGGCACAATTCGACGCCAAATTTTCAGTCATTTATACTGGGAGGCATAAGCTTCAATCTACCGGTAGCTTCTTCCTCTCCCACGTCCTCCCCACCCTCTGCCCCTACCTCTGCCTCTAGCACCTGTCCTCCCACCATAAGATATACCTTCCAGAGCTCTATTAACAAGCTGATTTTGGAAGCCACCAGCTCCACGGCCCTTCTTTGATGCGATATTACCAGATCCATTGGGCGCATTAGCAGGTCGTTTCACTCTGCACAACAGTTGATGCAGAGTAAGTGCATGCAGACAAACGAATATTAGTCCAATTCCATGAAGGCTGAATTTCAACTAAGCTTCTAGAATCTTATTATATCCACGTGGGATAACAACCCATTTTCAACCAATCAAGCACGAATGTCATTAGGGAGTCAAATTCTAACCAAATGACCAAAACTAGAGAGAGAGAGAGATAGAGAGACGACCAAATACAAAATCAAGCATATTACTTACCCAGTTGTAGTTGCATTAGAGGCTGCAGAGGGTTTTATAGCTTCTTTCCAAGAAAGGTTCACACTCTTATCTCCAATAAAGGAAGGTGTTTTTGAATGTAAAGGCTGAATAATGAGAAAAGGTAAAAGATAAGATGAGGAGAAATCATTCACACATGCCAGATACTCATCAGGAGTGAAAAAAGAGAAACAAGGAATTTGCTCCATTATAAGTTTTACCTTTGTCATAGCCAAAATGTTATTGCAGGTGCGCAACCCAGTTGTAGTGTTCTGTTTTTGTATTTTCTGTTTAAATAAAATGAAGATATTGGTTAAAAGACAAAGGAAACAAAGACTGAATAACACACCAAAAGACAGGATTTCCTAAGATTCACTAACAATCTCATCCTTTGCTTCATCAGACTTAGCAGCTGCCATCGCTTTGTTGTGCTCGGCCATTCCCTGGGTTAATTTCTTCATGGTAGCCCTAGTAAGGTCTTCAACAATACCCAATCTGGATCAGCATCAATCACAAAATAGGGTCATTATATAGAATTACCAGACTGAAAATCATGGTGGACAAGGAAGGAAAAAGGAGAGGCTGCATTAGAGACAATCATACAGTCAAGCAGCAAAATGGTGGATTGAGTCATAGACAGAGATGGGGTCAAACAGGTCTTTTACCCTATCAAAAACTGTTCAAAATAAACTTTCTGTAACAAACATATAAATCTTCCTTAAAGAATCAGAGGGAAGAAGAAAAAAGAGCGTTAATCATTTCTTCCAAAGAAAACTAGAGGCACATGTAAAAGTTACCTCTCAGTGAAGTCCTTAGAACACTCTGAGAAGTCCTCCCCAAGCCTATCTGATGGTTGACCAGTAACTATCTTGTAACCACATAGACTGTTTGTGGCATTAGGAGCCTGCACAATGATAAGAATTAAATTAGCATTCCACAGTGGAATTATGGAACACAATTATATGAAGAAAAAATGACTGACAAAGAACAACCTTGAAAGCTAAATGATGAAACGCAAAGAGCAAGCACTCAACATAAGTAAAGTTCATCTCTTCAGTTTTCCTCCGAGGCATGTACTTCTGAGTAGAAAGAACAAATTTGTTAACAATCAGTATCTAAATAGAATATAAATGAGTTAAAGATAAATATTTTTGCTGGGTTTTTGCTAGCTAAAGCTTAAACTTCAATCATTCAATGTGATATAAATGAATCAAATATGCAATAAGAAATCCCTTGCCCTTGGGAATAGAATATGCATGGCAAACACAAAACTATCCATTATCACCATTACACAATCCCTACCTTTAACAACTGCGCAATAGAAGGAAGAATCTGGCGCGAGTCTTGTGGTGTGGTATAGGGTGAAATTTCTGCAAGGGCTTTAAGCAAATCTAGTTTTCGTTCCTCTGGAAGCTGTCACAAAGAAAAATTATTAGAATATATTTCTTATGGTTATTAAAAAAAAATGTATGAGTCATAGCTGAATCTTCATAATACTGAATTCATCCAGAATTTACAGAAAAACAAGTACCCAAATTTCAGGAACCATTGCTATATATACACAAGACATCAAGAAAACAGCATCAAGAGGAATGCATTTGTAGTGCCTCTAAGAGGTCCAATTTTTAAAAATATACTTGCAAGTGCTAAGGTTTCCATACAGTCTATGGTGATACCATTAAAAACTTAGCAAGGAAATTATCTCTTAAAACTCAGGGTATTTCCAATATCCATATTCTTCTTTTCCTATTTTCAAATGCCCTCAGGTTTTCCACTTAACAAGATAGTGAAGAGACTTCAAACTTCCTCATTAAGGGAATTGATTCCCCACACTTAGATAATCATCCTTAACTTCCTAAGTATTACAAACATGAATAAACAAATCTAAGACCTTCGAGTAGAAAAAGTAAAGTCTAAGTTCTGGACTTTGGAGGCCAGGCCCAAAAGTTAAAATCAATCAACAACCAAAGACATGGGCATATCAACACCAAGTTTTTTCTAAACTGCTCAGGACAAAATGAAAAACTGTTCTTCCTACATTACAAAAGTAAAAGAAATTAAAGCAGTAAACAAGTAGGAACTAATCAAAATGGGCATAAGGTTCCAAAGATGAATGCATATCTGCTTTACTAAGACCAAGATTGTTAAAATAAGAACAAAATCATGTGCTAAATAAAGAGCATGCAGGCAACCTGGCAAAAGAAGTTACTGAGTGCAAGATCACCAATACAAATAACTAGAAAATCCAATGAACTTAGATTACATGCTTTCAATATTTGATATCACACAAAAATAGTTACCTGATCAAAAACAGGTACAATGTGCTTGTTCAAGTAGTTGAGGAACTTGCTGCCAGATGCACCCCTCTGTTGAAAATGTTTCCAGGTAAGAGATAGCTTATATAGTTCATTGGCCAGAAGAATTGAATCAATAATGAATATTGTTCACTCTGAGACAGTACATACCACAAAAAAGGGAATAGCCATAAACAGGCATGATATCAACCTGTCAATATGGTCTGCATCCGTAACCTGCAACTAAAAATTAAGTTATCAAGAAAACAAAAATAAATTGCAGAGGAGCTGAAAAACCATAATGTGATGATCATAATATGACAATTCAATCAGCACAACTTATGGAGGAGAACATGCTCCTCAACCTTCCCCAAAGTGAGCCCTCATGCATAAGTGCCTTCATTCCACAATTCCCCATAAATTAATTAAATTAGCAACAATGGGTCCACCCATTGCGATCCAGACTATTACTGATGCCAGAGTACAAATGTGCACCCATAGGTTGTCAGAATTAATCCTTTTAAAAAACAAAAACGGCATCCTCACAATGTACTAAACAATATCAAGTTTCTAAAGATATACAGGAAAAAATAACTCACATTAAATTGTGCATCTAAATCAGCCTGTCCTTCTATTATTTCAATAAGTTCCTTCATGCGTTCAGGAGGAGCTTTCTCTCCGAATATGCTTAAACTTTTTAAGAAGTCCATAAACATTCTAAATTCAGCTCCAGTTACATCTTCCAAACTCTGCAACAAACCCGCAAAGAATTAATCATCTGTTTTTTCATTCTGATATGAAGTTCAACAACAATACTTAATCATCAAGCAGACAAAAGAATAGAAGAAGACTGGGTATGGAAGGGCAAAAAATAAAAAATAAAAAGAACTGATGAATGTCTAGATACAAATTCTTGACATACTTTTTTAATTAAATCAGTTATATGCCTTTCCATTTCCTCCTGAGGCTTCAAGAGTTCAGCTTTAAGAGGGAAAACCTGCAAAAGTAGGCAATTGGTACAGAAATATCAACATGAAGTAAATCATGGAAGCAATACAAGGGAACCGAGCATGAAGCTAGTCAGCACCTTATCTCTAATAAAGCAGATAACCTTTTCACGAATAACTTCATCTGTGCTAGGTTCCTCAGTGGTGGCAATGTGCTTGAACAAGGCCGTCAATGAATCTGAATCAAAATAACAACCAATATTTATGAAAAAGTCCACATTCTAATTAAGAAACAAAAATAATTGGTAGGTAAGAAGTCATATCTTAATCCCATCCCAAGCAAGCAAAGGTTCCTACTCACAACTAAAATAGAAAATAGATTTCAATCATCTATTCCAAATACTTCGCTACACCAATCATACCAGCAAAAGCAAGGTTGGGATAGCTAAATAGACCAGAGAAGAGCAGTCTATGAATTGCTAAACAGAGAAGTTTCATTGCCATGCCCAGTTTCCTGTCCACTAACCATGGCATGGATAAAGACAACAAATCCCATTAACAATTTTTTCTTTTGGATCTAAAATTTATGAATAACCTATGGACACAACACCTTGGTGGTTGCATAACTTTTTAGCTCGAAACAGCAGACAGCAAATATACAGGAAGACACTTCTCTGCCATTACCCAAATTATCAGGTTTTATTTTTCTAACACAACTTTTAAGAAGTTGAAAATTCATAGAATTCTACTCCATCCTATGCAAAAAGAACAAAAAAATTATATGAAGAATATCAGACAGCATACTATTTTACATGCTGCATCAGAATTATTTATATCTGATCTGGCCACAATAAAAGAAACATATCTTCTTCATCTAGCCAAATATATTACTTTTTAGTGTAATGAAGTATGGAAGCCCACAATCCATGAAATGTGACTAAAAGTAAATGAGGCTGTATCAACTCAAAGTAACAATTTTAAATTTTAATCATCTTCAACTATGTACAGATTCTTCTCAAGAATACATAAAGATTAAAGTGCTAATTAACGTCCACCTTCCAGCATTATGAATGGGTATACAATAGATTAACCAAATGCAATAAGAATGTAAGTTACCTTTCACATCCTGCCTCAATATGGACATAAGGGCTTTATGCACTGCATCTCGCTCCACGATCTCCTCTGAAATGACCAAAAGAATTAAAGAGAATTATCATTCTAAACAATTACAATAAAATACATGCTTAGGAAGCAATAATATCTAATAAAATATAAAATTTACCAGCAGTAAGGAGTTGCACTAGAATATCCACAATTTTAGAGCTGTGCTCCTTTGTATCTTTGCAAAATAGAGGAAGACCCCGAATTGCTTGTACCCGAGCCTGTACAACCCAGATAAAAAATAAACACCCAAATCCAACTTTCCAAAAGAAGATAAATAAATGCACAACCAAAACAGAAGCAGATATATAGCTGAGAGAAGGCAAAGCACGTTAAACAAGTGATCAGAAAGCACCGAAATCGCGATATCATAGTAACTTAAATAAAACAATAAAAGATACAATTTTGGAATTCTCTTCTTTCCCTCACGCCCTCTCTCACCTCAGGGACCAAACATAGCGAAATCTAAAAAACGTAATGGAAAGTAAAGATGGAGATATACAGACCCCGAGATCTTCTTCCTCGATTAAGTCGATATGGGCATTAAGGGCACGATTAGACAGGTCGGGGAAGAACTTGAAGAAGCGAGGAATCAGCTGAGCAGCTAATTGCTTCGCCTTTACACTGTTTTTGGTAGCATCAATAATTCCCTCGTAGTCGCTCACATTCTGCAGCGAAAGCAAAAGCAAA